TTAAGGCAGGTGCTGGTGTACTTCGGAAAGCAAGCCATCTCAAAGACAGATAGTCCCCTGTCTTGGTGATAGCTGAATGAGGCAAAGTATCCAACTCTTGCATCACTAGCCAAATCATTCTTGTGTATTCCTGCTACTTCCACTCCCCCGCTGAGCGTCTCTTCTCAGCAGCTGAGAACATTACCTAAGAAGAGAGCCAGCCTCCGAGGCACATCAATATCACGTTCCTGCACTGCAATTTAAGGCTGCTGCAAACTATCGCTAATAGTTAATTTGGACTGGAAGATGTTACATTTGAAGCCTTATTTGAACCTTTGGGCCTCCAGACCCAGCAAGATTTTATATAGGATGGACTATTTATTAACTTTTACAAACTTGCGAATGTCACATTAAGAAAACGAATTATATAGTTTGTTTTTGGCTTGCAGAGTTAAGACTTCTGCAATTTAACAGCCCCTCATGCTGGGGCAGAGGCTGCTATTTTGAGTTTCATTTTTGCACATTATCTTTATTTGAAAGCCTTCTTGCACTTTAATTAGTATTATTCAATTAGTTGATTTCACTTTCATTGTGATTACATGTATTAATGTTACAAATACATTTAATGAAGCTATCAAGCATAATTTTCATATTTATGTTACATGGGTCATTATTTTAATTTGTTATGGGAACTTAAGACAGAGATAACAGGGTGACACAGTTTTGCAGACTTGAGCAGGTAAGGTAAAACAGAACAGGAGCCACACTCACAGGAAGCACAGATGAAGGTCATGACAGAAATAGTCGTTGACTAATCGAGAAAATAATCGACAGAGAATACTCCCAGAAAATACATCACTGACAAAAAACACCTTTGACTTTGCCTCTTTGTTGGCTCAGATCAGCACCTCCATAGTCCATGGCCCTGAAAAGGATGGCACATCCACTCCAGGTAAGGGGACAGGACCTGCCCCACGTGGAGAAGTTTAAGTATCTTGGGGTCTTGTTCATGAGTGATGGGAAGTGGGATTGTAAGATTGGCCATAAGCTGGGACAGGCAGCAGCAGTAATGTGGCTGCTGCACTGGACTGTAGTGGTGAAGAGGGAGCTGAGCCATAAGGCAAAGCTCTCTGTTTACTGGTTGGTCTACACCCCAACCCTCACCTATGGTCAGGAGCTTTGGGTAATGACCAAAAAAAGGAGACGCTACTTCTCCACATTGAGAGCCACTATTCCTCCACATGGAGAAAAGCCAGTTGAGGTGGTTCTGGCATCTAATTAGGATGCCCCCTGGCCACCTCCCATTGGAGGTGTACCCGACACGGCTAACTGGGACAAGACCTCAAGATCATCCTAGGACCTACGGAGTCTTCTGGGATTCTCTGCTTTCCCTACTGTTACCACGACCCAGGCTGGATCAATCAGTTTAAGAAGTTGAATGAATGAATGAATAAATGAATGGCTGAGCTGGAGCTGAATGTCCTCTTAAGCCAGACATACGCTGTATGATTTTAGAAATCTTGTTCTTGGGTGAGTCACACTGTACATTTGAATAGACCACTGTGTATGCACAAAGCCTCCAAATTTATATATTCTCACGGTATGAGCTTAGTCCATGCTATGTGAAATGTAGCCTCTACAGACAGGTCTGTCTACAGAGACTTTCAAGCTTTTTCAGAGCAGCTAATACGGTGCAGAGAAGCTAAAACCAGTCAATCGCGATGCCTAAAAAAAATAAACATAAAGAAAAAAAAAAACAAACAAAAAAAAAAATATATATATATATAGAGAGATATACACACACATATATACATACATACATACAAATACATATACATATACATATACATATATATATATATATATATATATATATATATATATATGTATATGTATATATATATACACACACATACGTATCAATGTTTATACTTGGCAAATTCTACTCAGTCAAACAGAGTAAAGTCAGCAGATACAGACTTTGGTAGCAAATGGTGTTTTTTTTCCTATCCAATGTGTCTCCATCCATATTGGGAAAGCAGTTGTATTTGTGCGTGTTTAAAAGGACAATCACATAATGTAGGTCTGGCGGGAGTCTGTCAAGGTGGAATGTGTAAAGTGACCAATGGCTTTGTGCCTGATGGTCACGAGGTCAGAAACATTTCTCTGTATGAGCAGAGCCTCGTTTACTGCCAGCTTCAGTCATCTGTTCATTAGCACGGCAGTGAACACTCGGCTTATGTCAGACGGTATCAGCAGGTGTTAGATAGTTGGTATTGGTGAGTATGAATAAATGTATGAGTAAATGAGCCTAGTATCAGCCTGGTTTTCGATACCAGTATCAGAATTGATGCATCCCTACTCATTTCATCATATATTTACATCACAACCAACAGAATTTCAATTGTTTTTTCATTGCACAGACTAAGGCAAATACATGTATCATTAAATAATAAAAGAAAGCAAAAAACATTATAGAAAACATGTCAGGGGGCAATAACAAAAAAAACTAAGGAACAAGTACAATAACATGTTTAGGGGCAGCTTAGCAGAGTAGAGAGCAGAGAGGTTAGTCCACTGAACTTCTCTGTACACTAACATTTGCAGCTAAAGTCCACAGTCACTCAACTGTATATTGATCTTTCAATTTCTATTTTTAGAATTATCATAAAACTACAGATTTAGGCATACAGTAAGACGGGGCAGGCGAGGAGGAGTGGCATGCATTTATAATAGTGACCTTGACTGCAAAAATACAGCTGTGGGTGAAATTTTTGTGTTTTAAATTTGTTGCCGTCAACTATTTTAGCATCATTTGAATGTTATTAATTATAATATATATACCTCCAAAGCAAAACTGAATTTTTTGGCAGAAAATCAACTTACTGATAATCCATCAGACAATAATACATTCTAAAGACATTTGATTTGAAGCTGCACATGGGCAGCTCTACCCAAAACCTAGGTCACATTCTGTGTCTGGTGATCACTAAAGGTTTAAAACACAAACAAGTCCCCCATCTTTCATCTCAGATCATTTCTGTATATTTTTTTCAAGCCAGTGTAGAAGTAAGAAAGAAAGTGTCAGAAAAACTATTTGAAAAAGCGTTACATTAACTCAGAAACCATTGAGAGGTTGATTTAATTTCCTTTTAACTTAATCTGTCATTGTCTTGTCTATTACTGTTGAACTCCTGTCTGTAAAGCACTTTGAGCTGTCACCAGTATGAAAAGTGCTGTTCAAACAAAAATATTATTATCGTCTCTGACTACAAGGTGGATCAAAAAGGCAAAAATGTATGCATAATAGTCTGGAGAGAAAGTGGACATGCAGTTTTTAAAAACTCTAGCAACTCAGCCTTGTCTGATCCACTCATACCAGTGCAACACATCACTATGATGACAGTGTCACTGCAGTGCTGAGAATGATCCACCACCCAAATAATACCTGTGCTGCGGTGGCCCTGAACATTGACATAGAACAGAGTGAAATGATTTTTAATCATTTATTAACTGAAATAACTGAAGTAAATTGTATTTTTTTTTATTGTGTAAAATAAGTAGGTACAGACCTGAACAATACATTGATAAACCTGTAGCAACTTTTCTGACTCTGGCAAACTAGCGCTAAATGTTTCATGTGCAAATTTGTCATTTGTCTTATAAAGCACTTTTCGTACGGGTGGCAGCTTGAAGTGCTTTGCAGATGATAAAGCTTAACAGTAATAGAAGAAATTATGAGTACCAAATTAAAATCAAATAAGGGAATGACAGATCAATTTAAAAAGATAATTATCACAAAGACAGAGAATTTTAATTAAATGCTAAATTAAAGCAACACATACACTCATGTCTACGAGCATCAGACAATGCTGGAATTTAGTAAATCTTAGTCATTCATGCAGTAAGAGTTGTTGAGCCATTGATTTCTTGGACAGATGGGACCAGCACGTTCCGAGACCATGGCTGACCACTGGAGGCACACCAGAGACACCGCTAAATGAACGCACTAGCTACGCTATGCTGATAGCTATCACCATAAGAGACTGGCCATTCCTTCCACATATATCTCTCTAATGCAGCGTTTCAACCTTTTTCAGTTATGGCATCCCTATCTAAAATGTATTTAAGAAGTGCACTCTGCATCCCTCTGACAGCCAACATATACACACACGCATGCGTGCATACCACATAGGCATATACATAGCACTGCTGAGCTACCACAGGATGAAGCTGGTGGCTCAGATTCAGAGTTATCTGATTCTGGAGCCTTTCTTTTCAAAAACTGTTTCATGCTATTTTTGACGAAGCCAGACAGCACCCTTCTCTAATGTACGCTCCTTCGTTAACAACCTGGACACAAATTACCTCTGCAACTGCACCTGACTACACAATAGAAGATGAGGGACAGCAGAAAGATCCCTAATTCAGCTATTCATTATTGCGTTCTCTGGCTTATTCCAACAAGAATTCAAATTGGTACATTACCCACCAATATTGCCCCTCCCTCGGGAATACTGGCATTACAGATTTTGGAATGAGAATTTTTACTACTGCTTGTCATCATACACAGCTTCAGTTAAGCTCCACCTACTGGCGTGTATGCACACTTTATGTAGTAGTATGTGTGTATGCAACAGAAAATGGTATCGTATTCCCTACTGTGATACCGATACAGCATTGGTGCAGCACTAGTTTTGATGTCAAATAAGTAATCAGTTAACTAGAACTCTGAAAAAATGTTGCATTTTTTTTATGTTGGACCAAAAAAATAAACAAAACGTAAATGCACTATAAAACTGTACTTCAACTGTACCAGTTGGGTTAGTTTACCAATAGCCAAGTATTTTACCATTGTTCTGTATGACTGTAGTAATCCCTAAAAAAAAAAAAATCTATATAGACTGTAGTATTCTTATTGTATAATTTCAGTTATATTAATGTTTGATTAAACAATATTACGGAGTATAGCATTGATTGGTCAATACTTTCTCAAATGAACAGCAGTAATAAGTGCTGACCTCATGTGCAAGACTTTGGGCACAGTCCGTGAGGGGAAAAGGAGGACTTGGCCGGTTCATGTGCAGTGCCACAGCATTGTGGATGTGGAAGGCCTTCTGGAAGTCAGGCTTTTGCACAAGCTGTAGCACCAGCTCCACGTCCTCCTGACTCTGAGCGTCCCCCAGACAGTGCTGTACCTGCTTCAAAGACATCAGCAGCTCCTCCAGCTCTATTTAAATACACAGACAAAAGGAAAGTGCAAGAGTGAGCAAGAGAGAGCAGGAATGCAAGAGCAAAAGAAAAAAAAAAAAAATCAGGTTTTGCTAATAGCAATAACTTATAATAGGTTATAAATAATAACTTACGCAAAATATGAATTTATTATGAATAGAATGATTTGTAAGTAAATAGAACATGCTAGAATATAGAACATAGGCATTCTAACACTGGAGACAGTAGTTAGTGAACTCACTATATAACAGCACATACCTGGCAATCATTCAGCCATTAAAAAAAAAGAACACAGATGCTGGCTCTCTACATCCCATTCATTAACAGGCCTAAAGAGTAGCCTAAATGCCAAACACCTTAACAGCAAAGTTTAAATAAACATTGTACTGAACAGAAATATCACTATTAATTACACTGGCCTCTCTCGACTAATCTTTACTTTTATCTCTGAAATTCTTCTCTTCTCTTGAATGAAGAAGGATGTGCGAACAGCTAAGTACTTTCATAAAAGAGAGTTTTTTTGTCTTAACTCACTAAGTGGGTGGCTGACATTGAATCTCAAACGCCATAAGACCTACAACCTCTTTTCACTCATGAGATACTTTAGGAGAAAAAAGAGAAAAAGAATTTCCCCACTCAGAGTGGGTCAAGCAAATTTAGAGGGAGTAAGAACTAAGGAATGCAAGGACAGCAGAGGACATGCAAAAACAAAGAGATGCTGGAGAAATGGAAACAGTGCAGTCAGTCCATGCACAGTCAGAATGACTTGTAAGAAGCTTTTTAATTAAGCTCCCCCTCGCAAGGTCCTCAGCTCCCTTTCTCAGGAATTCACAAACACAGACACACTTCCTTAGATGCATGGAATTTCTACTTCCCTTATTAATTCACTTCCTCCCTTGAACATATGACGCACCACCCTGAGAGAATGAAAGCCTATTCAAAATCCTTGGATTCACTGACATGATTCACTGACAAGTGTCCAGCCCAGGGGTCGACAGTGCCTGGTGCCTACTTCCCTGGCTACAACATTTCTTGTTTTGGCCACTTAAAGAAATCTCAGCCTGTGGCCTGAGTGGCATTTGAAATTTTTTGCATTTTTCCCCTTTTAAGAAACCATCAGAGCAGTTGAATTTTCACACTTACAGAGATGTCCATTAAGGGATGCACCAATACCACTTTTTCCCTTCTGATACAGACACCTGATCCTTAAGTATCGGCCGATACTGAGTACAGATACCAATATAAATTCTCTTACTTAACTAGCTAGGTCCTTACTTACTTGTATTTATACAATTATACTTTCTAAATATTTTATTTTGGTAAAAGTCATATTAACAAACTGGAGAAGGTCTGCTTCAAGGATGTTCCTGTATTGGGCTGCACTCATCCATCCATCCCTCAATTTTTTACCAGTCTCCCTGTCCCTGCTGCCGAGAAGCATCCCCATAGCATGACATTTCCAACACCACATTTCAACGTAGGGATGGTATTAGTCATCTGATGTACAGTGCCTGTTTTTTGCATACACAGTGCTTGCTGTTGCGCAAAGAGTTCAATTATCATCTCAACAGACCAGAGAATCCTTTTGTCTCTGGTCTTTTCATGTTTTTCTTTACATACCATTTAGCAAACTCTTTTTATGCAACAGTGGCCTCTGTTTTGTCACTCTGCTATAAAGACCTGATTTACTGAGTGCTGCAGAGATGGTTGGCTGTCCAACGGATTTTCCCATCTCTGCATAGGACTTTTGGAGCTCTTTTAGAGTGACTGTTGGGTTCTTTCTTACCTCTCTGACCAAGGCCCTTCTTGCCCTAGTACCCAATGTGGCCAGATGACCAACTCTAGGAAGATTCAGTGCCTTGACACAGGAGTGGAACATTTATGCAAGCAATATTTTTTGGTATTTATTCATTTATTTTTTATGTTCTCACAATTAATTTTTGCTTTAAAAACTGACTTTAAGACCACATTGGTTTGCAAAAAAAAATAACAACTGGAACAATGTGTGTGTGTCATCTGAATTTGATGACTTTTAAGGGGGTGAATACATTTGCAAGGCACTGTATGTGTGTATAAAGTCCAAAAAAGTTGTGCCAGTAGGAAAAACGTAAATAAAAACAAACAATTTACAAATCTTTTTTGACCTGTATTCAATTGAAAACAGTACCAAGATAAAATATTTAATGTTACAGCTGAACAATTTTATTGTTTTTGTATATAAACACTAATTTTGGTGCTTGCAACATGTTCCACAAAAAAACTGTGTAACATCTTTCTTTTAACAAGGTTCAGTAATCGCTTAGTAATTGAGGACACCATGTACTGCAGTTGTGAAAGTGCAGAAATTTTTTCTCCTTTCACGCTTGAAATAACACTTCAGCAGCTCAACAGTCTGGGCTCTCTATTGTCATATATTGCACAAACTTCACAATGCAAGGCAGGTCTGGACTATCTAGCAACTGCACTCTCTTACTCCAGTAACATTGTTGTAACAAATGCAGAATGTGGCTTGGTATTGTCTTAGTGGAATGAGCAAGGATGTCCTTAAAAAAAGATGCTGTCTAAATGGGTGCATATATAGCTCCAAAATGCACTTTCAGAGATGTGCAAGTTTTACCAAGGCCTTTGGCACTAACACCCCTCATACCATGACACGACACTGACTTTTGAACTTGTGATTGTAAGAAACATGGTGGCTCTTTTCCTCTTTGGTCTGGAGAACACAATGTCCATGATTTCCAAAAACAATGTGAAAAGTGGATTCGTCAGACCACAGAACACCATCTGAGATGAGCTTCAGCCCAGAGAAGTTGGTGGTGTTTCTGGATGTTGCTAATATATGGCCTCTGCTTTTCATAGTACAGTCTTAACTTACATTTGTAGGTTCAGCAACAAACAGTTTACGAACAAGGGTTTTCTGAAGTATTTCTGAGCCCATGTGGTTCTATTCAGCAAAGAAGCATGTTGTTTTTTAATGCAGTGTTGTCTCAGGGATCGAAGATCACAGGCATTTAACACTGTTTTTGGCTTTGCCTTTTACAATTTCTCTGGATTCACTGAATTTTTTAACAATGTAATGAACTATAGATGGTGGAATCCCTAAATTCCATACAATCATGCACTGAGAAACCGTGTTCTCAAACTATTGGGATATTCAAGGAATGCTCCTTTTATATTCATATTCCAACACTTGTTACCTATTACCCTTTCTTGGAATATTCCACAAGTACCTGCAAAAAACAACTGTCCCAACTTTACTATTTACTATTATACAATAAGTGATAAGAACCATATTTAATAACTGAAGTAAATTTTAAATATTTTTATTCTACAAAATAGTTACTGAACAACATATAGACAAAACAATGGTGTGTATATGTAAACACGCAGCAGCTTCTCTGGCTCAGCAAAAACAGCAAAATATCTGAATCATGGACACTGTGAGAGGCCCAAAAATCCTAAACCACAAATGGCTTCATAGGCAAGACTATTTAAACATGAGCCTGAACAGCCTAAATTCTGATGAAGACTGACATATCAGACCAAGGGGGAACCTAGAACTTTGAATGAGCAAGCAGGTGAAAACACAATGAGTCAGCTAAAGGTGGACACATCGGCATTTTTTTTCACCACCTAAAAATTCTGCATGTGCTTAAAAATGTAAAAATGGATAAGCTGCTTCCAGTTAGCGCTTGTCAAGTGCTATCTTTGCATCTGTTTATCATTTCTTGATTCTGTTTTATTTTATACATTTTTTTATTTTTAGTGTTTCTTTTTATGAGCAGTAGTTAAATCATCTTTAGTCATTTTGATTGTTAGACAGCCTACAGGATTGTTGCACAGGAATGGAGTAAAAATGTAGACTGCCTGGGGGGCCAGGTTGACACTGGTCTTGAAAATGTGAGCACTGAAGCTCCAACATTGCTGTTCGAAAAGGGCTTCAAAATGTATATATTTATGAGTTATGAGTAATAGTTTCCACCAGAATCCACCAGATTCACCAACATTAGTACTGTGGCTGTGGTAACCAGTGTAATGAACAAGAACATGACAAAACTCAGGTCATTCGGTCAGATCTGCTTGGCTTGCCCGCTGTTATTTTGTGTGTGGAGCATTTTAAACAAAGACAGACTGTCAGGGGAAGAAGTATGAGAAGTCTGAGAGTTGAATTTGGGTGAATTTTAGAGACAGTGACTGCTGCATTTTCATCCTACTCTTAAATTGTGTGGCTTCTGACGCCTCTTCACTGAACTGTAGCAACTTTAGCATGGTAGCTAAAGCAACATTTTTTTGGTGAACCTGGTGAATCTTTAAGCTGCTCACCCTCGTAACTGAAAACATAACAAGGTATGTACAATTTAAAACCTTTTTCGAGCAATGTTAGGTTGTAGTGCTTGCTTTTGCTTGACCATATACATGATAAGCAATTTTTTGGCAACTCATCCAAGCACTGTGTATTTAAAAAAATAAATAAATAAATAAATAAATAAAAATTAAAAAAAGAGCCACTTACACTGTTAGCCAAGCTAATGTTGGCGCTATACTAAGAATGGTGTCTAACATCACTCTCTGACTAAAACTGAACGATAAAAATAACTAGATAGTTTACATACTGTATACAAAATATAAACACTGAAAGTAAAGATAAATATGTACCAAATGCAATAAACATAACCAAGAAATGATGGAAACAGTCGAGGAGGTAACTGCAGATGCAAAGACAGCACTTAACAGCAAGTAAAGAGACATTATATTTTTATTGAGCAAAGTGACAGATTTGACTCTTTATTTGTTTGGTAAAAGTATGTCTATAGAGCCTTCTTGCTGCTCCGCTCAGCAGCACAAACACTATAGGAATGACTGGCAAGTGCAAGCTCTAACAGTCTGAAACACCCAAAATGTGTCCAAAAGTAAACATCTGAAACAGGATGTAAAAACACAACTTATTTATTAAAATGCCACTGCATAATTTCTACCTGCACTGCACGTTTAAGAACTAACCAGATTTAGAACCGTGAATATGGCAACCCAGAATGATGGGGCAAAATCTGCCACAGCTCTGGTCCAACAGAGCAAAACAAAAGAGTTAAAATGGAAATCACACCGGTATTCACTTTGATTGATACCAGTATACCACCCACCCTTACTCACAGCCAAGAGAAAAGCTGGATGCGATTAAAAACATCAAAGGGCACAAAAATGTAACAATGTGACTTGGTTGATCATTTCAGCATAAGTTTATGATGTTGCTGTGACAAAAAAATTACAGTACACCTACTACAGCTGCTAAAGAACAATGTGACACTTTGCTTTGGTCACAAATCTGCATGTCAAATTTGTTGTCATTTGAAATGTACTGCTTCCTTAACAGGAGAGGAAGTCATAGGCATAATATCCACAACGAAGGAAAAAAAAAAAAGTCTGTGCCTAGACACAGAAAAATGGAAGAGGTGTAAGAGAAAGGCAGCATATACCGTCCCTGTCATCTTTTGCTTTGAAGGCAAGTCTTTCCCTGGGTTTTGTCAGTGATATGACTCGCTGATCTGCTTTGCCTCTGATAAGAATGAGCCCTCTCACATCTCCTGGTATCATGTGCCCAGTATCAGTAGCATTATTCAATTAGCATTCAAAATTCACTTCTAAAATTATCGGACTGTATTTTGCATTTCTGAACCACAAGCTCACTTTCTCAGGATCGAGGTTTAGGATAATTATTACTCACCTAATATTTTTGGGGCCCCGTTGAAGCCTTGTAGCTGTATACCCCCAGAACCCTCAATGGGCTCAAAGGTAGGGTTATCGATGCCCACCTTGGGGTTCTGCGCAAGCTTCTTTAAGCGCATGGAGGAGTTAAGGTCCAGCTCCTGGAGGCTGCGGCCCTCCTCCTCCCTCCTCCTGCGGTCCTCCTGATGCTGGCGGATGCGCTCCAGCTGGGCACTCCGCCGGACGGGCAGAGTGCGGGCACCCAGCTCACCTGGGCAGTCCACAGCCATCTCCCGGTGGCACTGCAGGAGCTCATCTTGAGCCTCACCTGCATCGGCACTGCATCCCTCTCTCCGGTCCTCTGAATCGTTCACACGGCCATTCATGTGAGAGGTGGTAATCATGCTTGCACTGCCTTCCTTGCGGGTGGGTGGTACTGTGATAGAAGGGCTGTGAGCAGGAGGTGTGAGGCTTAGGAAGGATGAGTTCTGCATGGTCTGAAGGATAAGGCCATGACAATGAGGTCTGGGTTAACAACAACTCCAGAGAGGGAGCTCCACCTAGGCAGAGGGAAGTTGAGAAGAATTAGACTTCCAAATATTCTAAGGAGTACATATTTTAAAAAGCTAATATGTTAAAATTAATACGTAAGCTAAAAATGTTTCAAAAAATGTTTTTTTAAGAAATGTAAAAAAAAATAAATAAATAAAAAATAAAAAAAATACCCTAGATGTACCTTTTATGCTATTTGCAATGAAAACAACTGCTTACCAATAATGTTTCCATTCTTGTAGTATTTCAATAAAGTTTATTTAGGGTGTATTTACAGTTCCCTAGATCTAAAGCAGAAAATAATACATTGTTGCATGTTAGTTCTGGTTCTCTCAGTGTTTACACTGATATACAGTTGAAGTCATAAATTTACATACACTTAGGTTAAAGTTTAGGTTAACACATTATCAAAAATAATATTAATAAAATACTTATCCCCTCCACAGACTTTATGTCAACAAAGTGTAGTTTTAGCAAGTTGTTCAGGATACCTTTTGTACACGGAAAACTTCCAGAAAATGACCATGGCATTAGAAGCTTCTGATAGCCTAAATGACATCATTTTAGTTAACTGGAAGTGAAGCTGTGGCAGTAATTTAAAGGCTACTTGCTACTTTGACCAAAAGAAATCAGCCAAAGATATCAGAAAAAGAATCATGGACCTCCAAAAGTCTGGTAAATATCCTTGGGAGCAATTTCCAAATGCCTGAAGGTACCACGCTCATTTTTTTCCCCAAACAGTTTAAACAACATGGGACCCTGCAGCCATCATATCGTTCAGCAAGGAAATGCGTTCTGTCTCCTAGAGATGAACGTACTTTGATGTGAAAAAAAAAAAAAAACCCAAATCAATCCAGGAACAACAGCAAACAATCTTGTGAATATGCTGAAGGAAACAGGTACAGAAGTATCTATATCAACAGTAAAACATCCCCTAGACATGACCTGAAAGGCCGCTTAGCAAGGGAAGCCTCTGCTCCAGAACTGCCATAAAAAAGCCAGGTTACACTTTGCAACCGCACAAAAAGACCTTACTTTCTGGAGAAACGTCCTCCGGTCTGATAAAACAAAAATGGAACTGTTTGGCCATAATGACCATCTTTATGTATGGAAACAAAAAGGGGAGGCTTGCAAGCCAAAGAACATCATCCCAACTGTGAAGCACAGCGGTGGCAGCATCATGTTGTGGGGTTGCTTTTACTGCAGGAGGGACTGATGCGCTTCACAAAATAGATTGTATTATGAGGGGGGTAATTTACGTGGAGATATTGAAGCAGCATCTCAAGACATCAGCCTGGAAGTTAAAGCTTGGGTGCATACTTCCAAGCATATTTCCAAAGTTGTGGTAAAATGGCTTATGGACTACAAAGTGAAGGTATTAGAGTGGCCATCACAAAGGCCTGACCTCAATCCCAAAGAACATTCATGGGCAGAACTGAAGAAGCACGTGCGAGCAATAGGGGTGAAACGATTAAATCAACGTAGTCAACTAAAATCGACGATCAAATTAGTTGGGAACTAATTTAATGACATCATCACAGGGGTTTCTCACACCAACAAGGAATGTTTTGACATTACCGCTTACTGGAGAGTTAAAAAAAAGCGCACAGCCACCTTAAAAACAAAAAGCGTGGGAGCATTTGAAAAAAAAACTTCAGTTGTGCTATTTGTAAAGCCAACCTTTGCTTGCATGGGAGCACGTTGGAGGATCTGAAGAAGAGACACGACGGCTCCTTGAATGTAAAAAAAGTAAAATGCTAATGATGTGGATGACGGTAAGGTGCTAGCTAGCTAGTTCGATAACGTTAAAAGCTGTCCAACTTCATGTTATGAGCTGAGCTGTAACATTTTCTATTTCGAAATGTATGCTTTCTGGAATCGTTAATGAAGTTGGAACGGAGGAGCAAGTAACTATTATTCACAAAGACCCTGTTTGCATTCCAAATAATGTGTACAATTTTAAACATTGCATCATTGTCTTTGCGTCTAGACCACTGGTGCAGCTATGTAGGAGAACGTTTGCAAACAGGTGCCAACAGTTTTCTGTTTACTTTGAGTTCGCTGCTATCGTTTGCCACCACTCACAGTTTTAGGAGGCAGTTCTTCGCAAATATACAGGGAAGCTGGACGAAGGGTTACCGCTGAAATGGAATGTTTACACAAAATTGATCAAAGAACGTGATGTGGGGAACGCAGAGGACATGACCCTATATTCCCATAGTCAAGTGATTCTGACCCCCGCACTATTCAAATATTTCACGTTTCCTGAATTGAACTTCGGACTGGCAATTACAAATTACTGGGGAAAAACACCCTTTTAGGACAAATAACATTTTTTTGAAGGCACAAGTAACTTTGGACTCACTAAACAGCGACCCAGCCAATCACAATTAAGCAGTGTGTGAGGAATCAGACCAAACGCAATGTGCAAAGTCAGTGGGATTTTGAGAGAGTGGATTAAACTGGCTAACAGATTTGGCTTGACAAAAAGAGTAGGGACATGTAAAATTTGACTGTGGTATAAAAATACTATTATCAAATACTACTGAGTCAGGAAAAAAACATGCAAGTAGTAGCTTACTATTATAGCACTCACTAGCTAGTGGAAATATTGTTGACAAATGTACAGTGCTGTGAAAAAAGCATTTGCCCCTTCCCAATTTCATCTGTTTTTTGCACATTTGTCACACTTGAATGTTTCAGATTATCAAACTGCTTTTGATATTAGTCAAAGATAACCCAGTAAACATAAAAAAGCTGTTATTAAATGATTATTTTATTTATTGAAGGGAAAATGCTGTTCAGCACAACCTGGCCCTATGTGAAAATGTAACTGCCCCCTTAGCTGCTGAATTAACCAGTTATCCAAATTCAATTGACTTTTTGGTTCAATTTTACTAACCACACCCAGGCATGATTGCTGCCAGACCTGTTAAAGCTAAACATCACTTAAATAGAACCTGTCTGACAATGTGAAGCAGGCTATAATTTCTCAAAAAGTAGCACAAGATGCAACATTCTAAAGAGATTCAAATACAGATGCGAAACAACATCACTGAAATCTGCCAGTCTGCAGAGAGGGTTATAAAGTCCTTGCTAAGACTCTGGGACCATTATCCACAAATGGAGAAAACCTGAAACAGTGTTGAACCTTTCCAAGAGTAGCGAGGCTACCAAAATTTTACCAAGAGAGCATGGACAACTCATCCAGGTAGTGCCAAAAGATCCCAGATTAACATCTAAACAACTGCAGGCCTCACATCCGTCAGATAAAGTCAATGTACACGATTCCACAATAAGAAAGACACTGGGCAACAATAGCATCCATGGGACAGCTGCAGGGCACAAACCACTGCTGACTAAAAAAAAATAAATAAATAAAAAATAAAAAAATAAAAAAAAATAAAAAACACAAAGGCTTGTCTCACATTTGCCAAAAAACAGATTTTGGGATAATATTCTGTTGACTGATGAGTCAAAGGTGGAACTTTCTGGAATTGGTTTAGACAGTTAGACTAGAAAACCTTGTAGGAGTAACAGGAATAGCTCTTGCCTGGTTCAGATCTTACCTCACCGATAGCTATCAGTTTGTGAATTTAAATGGCGAATCATCTGTTTTTACAAAAACATGGTGTTCCACAAAACTCTGTTTTGGGATTATATATGGTATCAGTAGGTACCATTATAAGTATACACAGAATCAATTTCCACTGCTACGCTGATGACACACAATTGTATATATCGACCAAACCAGATGATAAACTTCAACTTAACAAGATTGAGAACTGCATAAATAACATAAAAGACTGGATATCAAGCAACTTCCTCCTACTCAGACAAAACAGAGGTTCTTCTTCTTCTGCTGCTAAAAACTAACTGTCTAATTTAACACTTAACCGTTTCTCAGTTGCATCAGGTGCACCAGTAAAAGACCTTGGTGTCACGAGAGATCCCGATCTGTCCTTTGATGCACATATAACAAATATTACTATTATATATACAAATATTACTAATAGCTTTCATCCATCTTCCCAATATTGCCAAATTAAGTAATGCACAGTCTCTACAGGGTCCAGAAAAGCTAGTTCATGCACTTATTACCTCAAGGCTTGATTACTGTAATGCCCTGCTGTCTGGATGTTCCAGCAAAAGCCTTAACAAGCTTCGGTTAGTCCAGAAGGCTGCAGCCAGAGTCCTTACAAGAAATAGAAAGTTTGACCAGATCAGCCCAGTTTTACCAAACCTACACTGGCTGCCAGTTAAATTCTGCATTGGTTACAAAATTCCTTTACTGACCTACAGAGCTCTAAACGACCTCGCTCTCAGCACCTGAGTGAACTTCTCTCTTATTATGAACAATCATGTCTACTTAGATCACAAGTTGCTGGCTTACTATTAGTACCTAGAATTAGTACCTAGAATAAAGTTACATCAGGGAGTAGAGCCTTTCCATACAAAGCCCCCCAACTTTGGAATAATCTTCCAATCAGTGTTTGGGACTCAGACACAGTCTCGTTCTTTAAGTCTAGGCTAAAAAGTTACTTTTAGTAATTTGTTTTTTCCGTTAAATAAAAGGTGCAGATCTGGGGGTTCATGGACATAGAGTATTATGGCAAACAAGTTTGTTGAGCGGAGGGGCACTGACATCTCTGGGACCCCTTCATGTCTGTGTCACTTTCTGGCTCTCCCTTTCAGTTAGGCTGTAATAGCTAGACCAGCTGGAGTCTCTGCTGCACTCTGTTAACACTGTGTACAGTAGTCAGTCCCTCTAAAAGAATTAACTGTCTGTGTGTTTTCTTTGCTGACTTGACAACTCCCATCCTGTGCGGTCTGATGCTTCATCTGCCTTGACCATCTCCTGGACCAGTTTGACCATCATGGAGCCCTGTTGTACAATGCTGTGCAAACCTCATATGCTTTAACTGATCCTCCTGATGATGCTATTGCTGCACAGACTTGAACTACTAAATTGTAGCCATTGCTTCACCTGCTTTTCCTTTTCTGTATTTTAATATTTTACACTAATGTTAAAACCATACTCTGTTCATATTGCTCTTTTGTTATTGTTTGCTATGTGTTGTTGACCAGAGGAGGATGGATTCCCCTTTTGAGTCTTGGCTCCTCTCAAGGTGTCTTCCTCTTGCTCTTAGGGAGTTTTTCCTTTGGCTTGGCTTGCTATTGGGTGCTTGGACCCAGATTTTTCTGTAAAGCTGCTTTGTGACAATGCCTGTTGTAAGAAGAACTATATAAATAAATCTTGACTTGACATGGGTCCCGTTACATCTGGCGTAAAGCTAACACCGCATTCCACCATAAAAACATTATACCAACAGTCAACCACTGTGGGGTTGTCCTGTTTCTGCAGAACGTGGACAACTTGTTGTGATTGGAATAAATGGAAATGGAACCATGAATTCTGAAAATTCTGAAGGAGAATGCCCGCCCATCAGTTTGTTACCTGAAGCTCAAATGCAATTGGGTTATGCAGCAGGACAATGATCCGATATACACAAGCAAGCCCACCTCTGAATCGCTCAAAAGAAACAAATTTAAGGTTCTGAAGTCCTGACTTTTCTGTGGCAAGATCTTAAAAGGGCAGTTCATGCTCGAAAACCCTCCAATATAGCCAAATTACAACAATTCTGCAAAGAGTGGGCCAAAATTCCTCCACAGTGATGCAAAATCGCAAGATATTGCAAATGTTTGATTGCAGTTGTTAATGCCAAGGGTGGCACAACCAGTTATTAGGTTTAGGGGCAATTACTTTTTCACATGAGTGATATAGGTTTTGAATAAATCTTTGTGTTGCGTATGTACCCAGAACTAGAAAAAGCAACCTTTGAAGCACAAATGGTCAAGT